CATCAATGGTTGATTTTAGAGTTTTCCTCCTTTCAATTATGTAAAGTTATAAATTATTCTCTAGTGTATCATACTAATTTTGATATAGTGTGCTTTCATATTCATTCATTTCAAAATATTTTCTCCTTCTGACTCTTTTTAAATCCAGGTGCTATTTAGCAGTATACTCTTTTTTAGGTATTTGAGACTTACAAGGTACTTTTCTGTTATTGGTTTCTAATTTAATGCTATTGTGGTCCAAGAATGTATTTTGTGTGATTTCAACAGAGACATTTATTTAGATGTGTTTATGACCCAATGTACAGTCTGTCATGCAGAACATTCTTGAGCATTTGAAAAAAAAACATATATTCTGCCACTACTAGGTGGAGTATTCTGTAGATCTTGATTAGATCACATTGGTTCATTGATAATATTATTTAAATCTTCCATGTCCTCATTCAGTTTTTTCCTATATATTTTTGTTTGTTTGTTTGTTTACTGAGTGCTAGAATAGAGAATTTGTCTATTTCTGCTTTTATTTCTATTATTTTTGGGATAATGGGATTTAAGACATATTTTCTAAGAACATACACATTTAAGATTGTTCTATGTTGGTAATAAGATGATCCTTTTATCATTATGAACTATCCTTCTTTCTCCTTGGTAGTATTTCTTATTCTGAGTTCTATATTTCTGACATTAATACAGCCACCAACATTTCCATGGTTGGCCTTATTTTCCCACTTTTTTTTTTTTTTTTTTTTTTTTTTTACTTTAAGTTCTGGGATACGTGTACAGAATGTGCAGGTTTGTTACATAGATATACATGTGCGATGGTGGTTTGCTGCACCTATCAACCAGTCATCTAGATTTTAAGCCCTCATGCATTAGGTATTTGTCCTAAAGCTCTCCCTTCCCTTACCCTCCACCTTCCAAAAGGATCTGGTGTGTGATGTTCCCCTCCCTGTGTCAATGTGTTCTCATTGTTCAACTCCCACTTATGAGTGAGAACAGGCAGTGTTTGGTTTTCTGTTCCTGTGTTAGTTTGCTGTGAATGATGGCTTCCAGTTTCATCCATGTCCCCCAAAGGACATGAACTCACTCTTTTTTATGGCTGCATAGTATTCTATGGTGTATATATATTTTTCCATTCTTTTACTTTTTACCTGTCTTTGCCTTCATATTTAAATAGGGCATTATATAGATAGCATAAAGTTGGCCTAAACATTTTTTGTGCATTCTGACAATCTTTGCCTTTTAATTACAGTGTTCAGACCATGTGCATTTAATTCAATTATTAGTATGGTTGTTTTAAACTCTACCATCTTACAGTTTGTTTTCTCTTTGTCTTATCAGATTTTCCCTTTTTTATTTTTTTATTTTGAATTAATTATGCTTAGTATTCTATTTTATCTTCTCCTTTGGCCTCTTAGCTATACCTCTTTTTTTTTTTCAATAGCTATCAGGAGTTAAAAATATTCATCTTAATACATTCTACCTTCAAATAATAACATACCACTTAACATGTATAAGAAACTTACAACATTACACTTCCCTTCTATTCTTTGTGCCATTGTCATCATGTTTTACTTCTGGGTATGTTATGAACTCCCAAATAATTTTCACTTTAAACAATTACCCTTTTTAACTCAAAAATTTTAAAAAGCTAGAAAACATGGTTTTATGTTTTTTATTTTTTTTTAATACCTTGCTCCTAGGACTTTAAAACATGTTTTTATATTTATCTGCATTTTTACCATCTCATGCTCTTTTCATTTTCACATCTAGGGTACACTCATAAAGAAACAAAATTCTTGCTCAAATAAGATATTTTTCTCCATTATCATGACTATTCTCAAACCTTTGAAAGCTCTGTTAATGATAATTTACATTTTCCCATGTAGAGTGGCTATGGATGGTAAAAATTGCAGTGAATGAGGGCAATTTCTTGTTTTATTTCTTGGCTCTTAGTTTATCCTGTAGAAATATCTTCCATGAGGTATTGCTGTAATTACAATCCAGCCTTGGGAAGGAAACTCAAGGGCTGTGAATGGAATCCAAATCTGCCTAAAATCTTGATCTAGATAGACCAGATCTCTTTCCTCAGAGACTTCAAACACTGCAGTTTTCAAATTACATCCAAAAAAACTTCATCCAAGTAAAATTTCCCCCAATTTCCTTTCTCTACCCCATCCTTTCCTGTAGTTAGGGAAAAACCCAGTGCTGAATCAATATCCTCAGACCTTTCCATTCAGGTGGGATCAGAACCTTTAGTTACTACATCTGCAACAGAGCTTGAAACCACACTTTCAAGAAATAGTATTCACATGTGACCTGGTCCTAGACTTCCAGTTACAGTGACTCAGAGTCTCCCAGCTCCGAAATACTGTAGTATTTACTGGCCTTAGAGTATTCTCAGGAAGGTGACAGTGAAGGGTTCTTCGAAGGAGACCAGAGGATAGAAGACTCAATGAAGGGATAATGTCCATATCAGTGCTACAGAAGTGTCAACATTTATTCACTGCCTTCTATTTGTTGGGAACTTTACTAAGGCATCACTGCTTTAAGGTAACAGATAAGGGCAGAGCTTGAAGGGTCAGCAATTCAGTCAGCCACTGGGGTAGTGAATACATGACATGAGAAGAAAGGTTGAGATGGAGTTTGTAGGGCAGCTGGAGTTCAGATCTCTCCTAAGTCCTTTTCTGTTCCGATATTTTGTCACCTACAGCAACAGACAGTTACTGTCATTCCTGGGTTCAGTACTGTAGGCCCACACCCATCTTCCCCACTCCCTTTATACCTGCTCTTCCCATTTGTCTGCCCTGTTCAGGTCCCAGGGAGACAGTGGTCATCCCTGCACATGCCCTGGTCTTCCAAGTGAACAGCACATAGGAGCCAAGGAGTTCCCTAAAGTCATCGAATTTCACTCCCAAACCCCAGCTGACTTTGAGGGCATGCCACATGCTTCATGTCTCCAAAATATTCTGATAAGGGGAAGGGCCACATTACTGAGAGCAGAGGAGAAACTTAACTCAGGAATGAGACTTGGAAGGGACAAACATCCAAACCATATCAATAAAAGCAATGAAGGAAGGATACTTGCTCACACTGTGTAAACTGCTTTTTGAAAGGATTTCAAAACCAGGGTAAATTTTCTAAAATGACCTCTGTTGAACATCTGACAGTGGTACTTCCTCCTTCTCAGAATTCTTTTGTTGCAGGAGCGGCCGCAAGAAACAGAGCTCCCGAACACCAGATGGGGAAGGAAAGAGTTGTTTATTATTATCATTATTAGTATTGTTAACATTATGGCTGGGAGCTGGGCGATGGTTCCAAATTACCCAGCTCCTTTAACAAAGAAAGGTTCTACCTTTATATAGGCTTATACTTTAGATATTACACGTGGAAGAATCTTAGGTTTACAGCCTTAGAAATCACATATGAAAGCATTTCGGTTTACAGCTTTAGGACTCACATGTTAAAAGTTTCCTGGGTTTGATCTTGTTTTAAGTAAAAACAGTTCCTTCTGGAGAGTTTCCCCAAGACCAAGCCTGCCACCTACAGGAAGGTGAAACAGGAAGCGCCAATCAGCCTTTTCTTCTATTGAAATGCAGTGTGATAGCCAAAGGGGAGGTTGCTCTCAGATGCCTGGGTCTCCTTCCTCACCTTAATTCCTTGGCTTATGTGACAACATATTCTCATAATTCTTCTACCTCTCTGCTTCTTCTCCATTTTCATTAAATACTCCTCTTCCGATATTTTGTTAATCATGTATCTTTGCATTAATTTTGTTTTTTCAAGATATTTCATTAAAATATGATTTACTTTTATTACTAAGTTCTTTTGGTATACGCCAAATTTTGCACCTAAGCCAAATGCATCCCTTACATCACCCTAATCCCAGACCTCCTTTCCATACTTCCTCTTAATATCTGATGTTCTCCATTCACTTCATCCTAAGTCATTATAGATAACAATTATAAAGGTATGTGAACAAAGAAAAATAAAGAATTTGTCCTACTGAATACTAACACACATTACAATGTTAGAGTAATGAAAACACTAGGACACCAGCACAAGAAGAGACAAACAGAACAGTGGAACAAGATGGAACTCAGACACAGGCCCATGTGTAATGGGACATTTCAGTATCGCAGAGGAGACACCACAAACTTATGGGGAAAAGGTGAGCTATTTAGTAGTTGTGGAAACACTGGCCCACTATGTAGAGAAAAATAAAACATGATTTCCTCCTAACACAAAGGTGAATTCCAGATAAATTGAAAATGTAAGTGTGAAATTTAAAACTATAGGAGATATTTTAAGAATATCTTTCATATCTCAGTATAGGGAAGACTTCTTTTAAAAAAGACACACAAACAAACAAAAAAAAAGAGTTGATGAACTTCATCACAAAATATTAAGGATTTCTCTTCAATAACAGAAACCTAGGAGAAAGTTGCCAGAAGTCAGATTAGGGGAAAACATTTGCAATGCCTAAAATTGACAAGCGACTACTTGCAGGACTAAGGATCTCCTGCAAATTAATAAGAAAAAGATAGAAATGGCCAAGTGCGGTGGCTCATGCCCATGATCCTAGCACTTTGGGAGGTGGAGGTGGGCAGATCACCTGAGGTCGGGAGTTCGAGACAGCCTGACCAACATGGAGAAACCCTGTCTCTACAAAAAATACAAAATTAGCTGAGCATAGTAGCACATGCCTGTAATCTCAGCTACCCTGGAGGCTGAGGCAGGAGAATCGCTTGAACCCAGGAGGCAGAGGCTGTGGTACACTGAGATCGCACCATTGTACTCCAGCCTGGGCAACAAGAATGAAAGTCGGTGGGGAGGGGGGGAAGGGGGGAAGGAAGGAAGGAAGGAAGGAAGGAAAGAAGTAAGGGATAGAAGCCCACAGTACATAAATGGACAAAGAATGTGAACAGGCAATTTATAGAAAACCAACACCCAAGTGGCTAATCAGTCCCAATTATAACCCCAATAACAATGAATTAAAGAAATGCAAAATAAAACAGTATATTTCTTTATGCACATGAAATTGGCAAAAGTTAGAAAACTGGATAATGTCCAATGTTGATGTGCATTTAGGAGTTGCAGGGCATTTCAGGTACTGACAAAGGAAGTACAGATGAGTACAGCCATTCTGATGAGCACATGAGCAGTACTTAGTCAAATGAAGGAGCTGCATCTCCAGCAGCCCTGCAACCCCTTTCTAGGATACATACATTCCAGGGATGCAGGTCAGGTCCACATGCATATGCAGGTCCATGTGAGATATAAGGATTGCTTGCAACAGTAGAGAACCAGGATAATCCAGGTATCCCAGGAGCAATATAGATATGTGGATTGATGTGATTTAGATATTTGTTCCTTTCAAGTCTCATGTTGAAAATTGATCCCCAATGTTGCAGGTGGGGCCTGGTGCAAGGTATTTGAATCATAGAGGAGCCTCCCTCATGAATGGCTTGGTGCCCTCCCCAGGGTAATGAGTGCGTTCTCACTCCATTAGTACGCATGAAACCTGGTTGTTGTTAAAAAGAGCCTGGCACCTCTTTCTCTCTCTCTTTCTCCCTCTCTGACCATGAGATGCACCAGCTCCCCTTGCCTTCCACCATGAGTTAAAGCTTCCTGAATCCCCCAACAGAACCAGATGCTGGTGCCATGCTTCTTGTACAACCTACAGATCTGTGAGCCAGTTAAAGCTCTTTTACTCATAAATTAGGTAACTTCAGATATTCCTTTATAGCAATGCAAAATGGACTAATGCATGGATGTATAGAGTGGAATACTATGGAAGATCTGGGAAAAACAAACTAAATGTACAAAATTAGATCTATAATTTAATGCCATTTTGGTTAATTAGAAATACATGTACACTGGGCACAACTACATATTATACTGGATCTATGCAAATAAAAAAAATCAAATTCATTAAAATGTTTACCTATGAGGTAGGGGTAGGAGAATAGATATGGGAGTAAGGACTGAGGATAAAAGGGACCACATAAATCAAGAGAGAGAGCTCAGAGGCACCAATGATGATAGTATAAGGAACTGAGAAGTTCTTAACCATTTGTACCTGAGGTCCAGCATGAATGACAATAATAATAATGAATTAGATGTGGTCATCTGCATGGAAGCTCACTAATGCTAAGGGAATTCTCAAAACATATAAAAATATATAACATGGTGAGTGTTATGATCAATAAAAAACTATAAGATCTCAGGAGGGGCACTTTTTGTGTGAGCATTGCTATGGAGTGAGTTCAAGGAGAGACAGTAAATAGTTACAGGCACCCACCTCACTGTGTTGTAATTATGTATAGAAATATAGATCTGGCTCCATTACTAGACAATGGACTCTTGGAAAATCTGAACTTGGTCTTTTTCTTCACAAAATAGGGTGTGTTGGACAATGGATAAACAGTCTTGGATCCAGATGGAACTACTTCATAGTTGTGGAAACTTGATCAAGGTGCTTAAGGTCTCTGTATATGTGAAAAGATATAAGTATCTCTCATGTGAAATGTTGAAAACAATAGTACCCACCTCAAAGACTGTTTGTGAGAATAAAGTGAGTTAATAAATGTAAATGCTCAGATTAGCTCCTGAGCATATTAACTACTCAGTTATCAATGTTGTTGTTTTTAGCTGTTTTTATGTGGCTGAATGCTTTTAACCCATTAGGAGATCCAAGAACACTTATCAGATCAAAGAACACTTATCAGATTTAAATTTTCCTCTCTTCCTTATATTCTACAGATCCTAGGGCCTCCTCTTTACATTCCAACCTTTACAGTATTTCACAGGGACCCCTGGGCCCGGGGGTCACGGCCAGAACGCAGAGATTTTATGATGAGGATAGTGCCCACGATGATGCCCACTAGGCCCAGCACCAGGCCCAGGGCACAGAGCACAGTCTCCGCCGTCTCAGGTGTCTGGATAGGCTCTTGGGTCTCTGGGGGAAGAATGAAGAGATAGGGTCAGGAGGTGCAGCGAGGGTGGTCCTGGTCTGGGATGGGTGTGGGAATTGAAGGTTATGGACAGTTAATCCAGTTAATTGAGTGTTAGGACAAGGAGAGAACTGAGACCTGTCCAGTGGGGAAAGTTGGTGCAGAGGACACCAGGCCCTTGGAATAGAGGATGCCAGGAGATTATGAAGAGAAAAGGACCTGCATACCCCAGTGCTTGAGGAGTGGCTGGTCCAAGCCCCAGTGCTCCACCCTGCAGTCATAGACGTCCTCAGCTGAGGGCACAAAGGTCAGGTAATGGAACTTGTGGAAGCTGCCATCTGTTCCGGGCAGGAAGAGGCCCTCGGCGACACCCTCAGTGACCGGCTGCCCATTGCACAGCCACGTGACGTTGAGCACTGGTGGGAAGAACTTGTCAATGTGGCAGATAAGGATATTGGGCTGGCCCAGCTCCACAGGCTTCTTGGGAAACACAGTCACTTCAGGGGGATCTGGGAGGAGACAGGACCAGGTTAGGCCCCTGTTCTGGGATGAATCACAAAAGCTCCACCTCTGGGGGTTAATCTACCTCATCCTTAGATTTTATGGCAGCTCTGTGTTCCTGAATCACAGAGGGGGTATCACATCACTGACCAACCTCACCCTGCTCACCTTTCTGTCTCCTGAGAAGGGAGGACACAAGCCCTTGCTGTAGTGGGATCAGCCCATGGCCACTAGGGGAAAAAAGGATCACACAGCAGGGGACACTTAGGCTTCCCTGTCTGAGGGTGGCTGAGGGGCCCTCTCATCCCTTCCAGTTGGGCTACAGAGGAAGAGGCAAAGATAGGCAGTACCATTGGTGGCCTGAGTGTGGTTGGAACGCTGGATCATGATATTCAAGTTGTTGTTCAATGCAGCAATGTTTGCCAGCCCACCCTGAACCTCAACGGATATGGCTCGGCCAAACTCCTCCAGATGCCAGACGGTCTCCTTCTTGTCCAGATCCACAGAGTACATCTCATCCTCATCAAACTCAAACATATACTCCCCTGTTGGTCTCTGCGTCTGTACAAACATGACAAAAGTTGACACATGGTCCGCTGCATAAAGTAGAGAAAAACATGACAAAATGTCAGTATGAGTATGCCAGTGGTGAAAGCTAGAGAATGAATAAAGACTTATGAATATAAAGAAGAAGAAGGTAAGAGGTCAAAGGAAGGACATATGGGGAAGAAGGAGCAACACCATAAAGGAAATAATACAGAGCAGATTAGCAGTTATAAAAAGAAAGGCGCAAAGAACAATGAAAAGTTTATCATTGATAAGTCAAGCTACTTCCTGGTCTTTGAAAGTCTGGGCATCCTGACCCTACACAACAGTAATAGTAACAATGACAGCTAACATTTGTGAAGCACTTACTTGTGCCAAGCATTCTTCTAAATACTTTACGTAGTTCACTCACTGAATTGTCACAATAAGAATATGAAGCAAATATATAGCATACTATTTTACAGATTAGGAAATGCAGAGAGGTTTAATATTAATAACTTGCTATGGTCATATGGCTACTGATAGAACTAGTAGAGAGATTTTCTCTCCCCTTAAGATCTTAATTCTTCTGGGACACAGAGGTAAAATTGTTTTTAGAGTCATGGGGGTTGGGGAGTGGACATTTTATTCTTCTTATTACAGAAAATGGAGAAAAAATAGAAAATTGAGAGGAAGAAGAAAATATTCTTCAAATTTTAGTGCCCTTGACAGTCTTAAAGTTTGTGTCTTAGCTTACGAATATGAAACTATAGAATGTATAGCTTTGTTGATAGTATTTTTCATTTGGGGCATATAAATTCAAAAGTGCAGTACAGTTATCTTGGCATTTGTTCCAAACTTTTGTTTCCTTTTTACTGACAGAAGAGCAGAAGATCAAACACCGCATGTTCTCACTCATAGGCGAGTGTTGAACAATGAGAACACATGGACACAGGGAGGGGAGCACTACACACCGGGGTCAGTTGGGGGGAAATAAGGGAGGGACGGTGGGGGGTGGGGAGCTGGGGAGAGACAGCAAGGGGAGAAATGCCAGATGTAGGTGATGGAGAGGAAGGCAGCAAATCACACTGTCACGTGTGTACCTATGCAACAATCTTGCATGTTCTTCACATGTACCCCAAAACCTAAAATGCAATAAAATAAATAAAGGGGAAAAAATATTTTAACATTTATTTTACTTTCAGGGGTACATGCTTAGGTTTGTTATAGTGGTAAACTCATGACTTGGGAGATTAGTGTACAGATTATTTCATCGCCAAGGTACTAAGCATTCCAAACTTGTTGTACATTTATGTTTTGATTTTTGTTTTGGAGGACAACTAGAAATTATTGCTGAGTTTGAAATATCTGGAGGATTTAATTTGTTTTGTTTCTTAGTCTTTATTAGTTTGTAAGAAGTAGCAAAGGTAAAAGGATAAAAGCAACTCTCATCATTAAAGAAAACAATGAATGTGTATGTGAGAGTCTGGATTTAGAATGATAATGCATTAGTGGGAAAGGACTACATGGCTCATCTGCTCTCACCTCCCAACTCAGATTTCCCTGTGAGTTTGCAGCCCTGACATGTGGGGACCCAGTCTGTGCTTGACCACTTGCAGTGACAGGGAGAATGACTCCTCCTAAGTGTCTGGAGGATAGGACCTGTGTCTTATTTTTCACTGAGAATGACTCCCTGTCACTGTAAGTGGCCAAGCACAGAGTGGTATTTCAAACTAAACAAAATAAATTAAATCCTATAGGTATTTCACAAGCAAACTTAGCTTCCTCCTCAGTTTAAAGGACTCAAAGGACTCACCAGGAAAAGAGGGTAAAATAAAAAGACACAAAGTCCTCTAGCAATTATTGCGAACTCATCTTCTTAATATGTGAATGTCCCTTGTACTTTTTAAAATGCTTTTCAAAAAACACTTTCACAAGTTCTGCAGTCTAAAGATCAGCCAGATGTGAAACAGATTACTTTACTTCACAATATCATTTCCATTCAGACAAAAATGTGTATTAAAAGATTACTATATGTCAAATGCTGTTAGATGCTAAATATTCAAATAAAAATAATACACAGGTCCTGTTCTGCAGACGCTTACAATTCACAAAAGGAAATACAAGTGACAAGACAACAGCAGGTTCAGAAGGATACGTGCAGATTTGTGGGCATACACAAGATGCGATCAAACAACTCGTCAGAGACGGCTTCCTGGGGAACCGATGGCTTCAATGTAGGCATCAGAAAACAGGGCAAAAGCCACTTCTCATAGGGGGAAGAGGGCCTGACTGGGAGAAGATAGTGGGTTCACTGTGGGTCCATTGTGCTTAGGAGATCTGAAAGTCATTTAAGGAGAAATAATACCTAGACATTTATGTACGATGGGTGGTCTCAGGAGAGGAGTTTAGGCCACAGAACTGAGAGTCATTATGGGCAGGTGTAGGTTAGATGAGATTTTCCAGGAAGAGTGGCAAAAATCAGAATTGCAGAG